AAACTCTTGTCTAAATTCAACTGAGGGTCTAAATTTAAATAGACAACTAGGTGGGATCATAAGGATAAACGTAAAAAAAAAAAATATATATATATATATAGACTTGACGGCAGAGAGACAAAGTGACACATTGGCTAAGTCACTATCCAAATTATCCAGAGTGAGCTCCCTCATTTTTTTTATTGAAAGGCCGGAGGGCGAACAAAGAAGGAGTGAATATAACTTCTAAAAAGAAAAGGTTTTATTTCTCAATCCCTTCAATGTATGTATGACATTAGATGTCTAAGAAAACTACAATTTAATAAAGGTAAAAAGAGAAAGCAGCTATATGGCTGTGGGCTGGGATCTGAGTAACATAATATTTTGGTTTCTGTAAAACTGTAAAGATAAGTGGAACTGAGACAAATACTGTGAGAAGTAGTTATAATGAAAAATAAAGTTGAAGTTAATGATAAGAAAACAAGAGTATTGAAGAATTAATAAAATACCATGATTCCCCTAACGAGGGAACTTTAAGTGTCACTAGGCTGACAGTGGTGAGAGACTCGGATGCAGAAGGAACTGGCATGTAGGGCAAGATGGAAGAAATATAGTAGAAAAAAATGTATGTTATGAAAATACAATTTCTGATAGGATTTATGGAAGTCAAATTAAGTTTAAATGGTATGAAAAAGTGAGTTTCAAAATAAAAACAATAAGACATTGTATGATTGACAGGGATTCAAGTGATATAAGGATAAGGAATGAACAAAAGCTTTATTAAGCAGAATGGGGAACGATCCTATATTTTAGTGGTTAAATAATGACTGAAATGATGATGTGAATTTGTTTTATTTTATTTCTATTTTTGAAACAAACAAAAAAGGGTATAAGATGTTATACAATTAAAATGGTACATGCTATGTGACTGTAAACTGAAGGATGATTTCAGTAAAGACTTAAAGTGCTTACATCGATTATTATGGGTCTTAATTATTAATATTTTATTGTTTGTTGTTTATTTTTAGTTAGACAACCATTGTGTTTTAAACCTAAAGGGTCTATAAAAGGGGTAGTGAAAATAATGGATTAACCATCCAACTTTGTTTATAATAAAAGGATTTGGAAATCATAATTTTATAAATAAAAAAAACTAGTGCATATATTCTGGTACTCATGATTATAGACAATGTCTTTATTTAGGATCTGAGTAGTGACTGTGGATCTAGCCCATGCTCGGAATACAGCAATAGTGCTTGCTTATTTAGCCTGGCTTCCAAAGAAAAAATATGTACTTGTTTCGTAATCAGTTATGTGTTTTATAAAATTTTAACCTGACTGATAAACTGAGGAAGAATGACATTGATGTCCTGTTGTGAGTGGAAGGTGGGAGAGCCTCTTAATGGGGACTGGAATTTTTAGTATCCAGCATGTCCATGACGAGGTGAAGAGACAAGTGTGACCCGGCAGGGGAGCATGCGTCACCACTCCTCCCTTCCGTAGTGACCTCACTGGTTAGACCAGACGTGGCGGTATTGGACCCCACATTGGTCTAAAACGGGGGACTGAAGGGTTGGTCAAAATCCCTTGCCTCTTCAAATACATATATAATCATATATCATTTTGAATGGTTATATACTTCCTTTATAAAAATCAATAATCAAATATATTCATTATCACATAATAATTTTTATATTCTTGTGCTTGTGAAATTATATTTTCTTAAATGCATGGATGCAAGTAACCAGTTTCTTTTAGGTGCATTCCAATCTTACTTTGAGATTGCACTTAGTACACGCAGGACACGAAGGCCACGGAACCCACAAGGCCGTTTGTCTCTTTCTCTGGGATCAGTAGAAAGGTTAGAGGGTCCTAAAGGCAGCGTGGGCACATATGATTCTTCGCTGGACATATGGTCAAGCTATATTGAGCGTTACTATCAAACTTGAATTGTTGTATTAAAATGTATTCTTTCCAGTATATTTCCTTCCTTGGGAGTAAATGTCAGTTATCTGTTTTTCTCCCAAACGAGTGAATGTTTTAGCATTATGTTTTGGTATACTTAACTGATAATAAGGAGCTCAGACTCTCTTCAGCCTTGATGGGAGCTGTTATTTGCTAGTGTCTGTTATTTGTGTGTGTGTGCGTATGACATTCTATGTAGGTTCTGGACGTTCGGACCAGACACCCCGGCGCCCTTCTCTAACCTGCGAGGCCACCACAGACCTAAATCCAATGAGTGGACGACAACTATCTTTACTAATGGCGATAGGCACCCCTATCTCCTCACATGTGTTAAATTGTTTAGGCTTTCATGTTTCTTAGCCAATGAGAATCATTCAACCTGTAAGCAATGACGTAGCTTAGACCTTGGAAATGGTATAACTGCTGTGATCTTTGTAACTGTAAGTGGGGCGGCCTACGAACTCCTGTGGGAGTCTTGAAGCTGACTTCTGCTGATGAAAATGCAAACTATCTTCAGTAAAACTTTTCTTTAATTTTTTTATAAGTCTGACTCCGGGTCTTCATTCTTCATATCTGGTTCTGGGTCTTTGACTGTATACCCCTTACACAGTGTTGTGTTGATCTGTATGAAACAGTGTTGATCTGTATGAAACAGTGTTGATCTGTATGAAACAGTGTTGATCTGTATGAAACAGTGTTGATCTGTATGAAACAGTGTTGTGTTGATCTGTATGAAACAGTGTTGATCTGTATGAAACAGTGTTGATCTGTATGAACACACAGAACGGAGTTTGTCCCGTAGTGTAGCTTAGGGTATATGCACATTAAAGGGTATATTAAAGGGATTTTGTCTATGCCCAACCGTCATATCTCAAGCACCACTAGCAGCCTATACTAAATCTCTGAAATATGAATAATAATACTTTTATTAAAAACTTTTTTAATTTGGTTAAGCAAAACAAATGTGTTCATGTGTACTTATTTTGAGTGTCTCTTTTACTTCTGATAAAGAACCAAGATCCCTTATAGTTGGAAAACAATAACGCATTCAACAATTAAGAAGCACTGAAAACAGCAAGTCAAAGTATGCAGGGATGTACGCAGAGTTTTACAAATACTGAGTTCCTAAATGCTTGTTGGGGGGTTCGGGGGCAAGTCACCCTGAGAACAATTGTATTTTCCTGAACTACACATTTGAAGGTGTTTGAAGGCCAATAAAATGGATAACAGTAGCTTTAAAAGCATATGTCAGTGGGCAGTAGCATAAATTATTTGTCAAGCAGATAACATTCTGAAACATGAGAATCAGTTTAAATGTTGCAATGAATGATCCACACTAAAATGGAAATGCAGAATGTTTATGCTTATTGTTGACAATAAATAACACATTCGAAACGGGAATGGCCTTGAATAAGAAATGATTCAAGGATTATGTTGCATAGATGTTACATTTAAATCAAATGCCAATACAATCCTTCTGTGTCTAGAGACATATATGAGCAATTAGTATGCACTGTAAAACATTTCTAACCTCACAACTCAAAATTTTCTTGTGACTGGTCACATCAAAAAATTTTAATTGGCCCAAGTGAAATTCTGCAAAGTGATCAAATTAAATTTGCAGAATTTCACTTGGGCCAATTGGAAAATGTAGATGTGACCAGTCACTAGAAAATTTTGAGTTGTGAGGTTAGAAATGTTTTACAGTAATCAATGTTTTTGGACTAATCTGTTCATTTAATGGTTCAATTGCTTACTCATAAAGACAGTCACTTGTCACCACCTACTGGCTTAATGATGCAAGTTATACAAACACAGACAGTGGAGTGATACAAACAGTGAAAAATCCCAGTGCTGATACTGGTGAAATATGTAAAAAATATACACATTCGAGGTATACAAATATAGCCTATATTTATAATAATAATGGCAATATATTCAATAGGTGCTTGTGTTGTTAAATTTAGCTTATAGTTTCCACTGTCATTGGCAAAGAACATACAGTATATGTTAAATAGGAATCCAATGTAATAATGTTAATCTCATGGGCACAGTATGCAATACGTGCTCTTCCTCTCTCATCTCGATCAAATTCTCTCTTTCTCTTCTCTCAGTCTCTTTATCTTGACCTGTATATCTTCCCTTCCCATTGATACAGTCTTTGCAAACTGATTATTTCTGTCGGTCTTTTAAAACTTCTATCACACAACAGCTGTTTAGTGCACCTTAAGTTATCTCGCTCTGTATGACCGTCAACTGAAGCGTCGCGCTCGGCTCGCGCTTCTGTGAACATAAATCCCGTCTACTGTGCTTTGATTGGTCATCTCAAACATGTGGACATTGACGACGAGTGGTGTTTGAGTGCTGAATCAGCTCAGATGAGGAGGTCGGTTATCGTCGCGATGTGCGAATCATTGCAGCACCAAATTAGAGTTAATATTAAGCAATTATTTCACAACTTTAATTACACACTTAGAAAAATTACCAGGGACCTCAATGCTGGGTAGTATGTGATTTCGTACGTAGCCTATCTGTTTTTTTATTTTTATTTATTTTTTTAAACCCTAACAATAAACCTAACCGTTTTTTTTTTTTTTATTGTGTTGTGCAAATATATTATACCGTGTGTTTATGTGCACTGATTATGCTCGAGCAAAAGCGACTTATATTCTTGAGCGACTATTAGCGAAGTCTGAACTTTGAACGGAAAGTAAAAGAGGCGAAGAATACTGACCTGCTTTCAGTTGAGGAACTGAGAACACAGAACGCGTTTTAAGGTCAGCATGTAAAAGACAACATGCAACGTATGAATTGGGGGAAATTGTACATAGTTAACGCCTAGAACTGAAACTTCAACAATCACAAACTATGGTAAATTATGCAATAGCTAATAGCTAATTAATGTATAGATATTATTCATTCTTTCCCGTTTTTTGAACAACATGCGAAAGCGACAGAAACAGAAACAAACTCGAACTTGAAGTCCAAACTTTCCCCATAGAGTAACATGATCATAAATCGAAACCATTGAATTCACTGAAAACAGCTACTCTTACCTGCAAACCAAAGGGTGGATAGTAAAATCCATAGAATATAAACTGTGGAAAAGCTCATCTCGGGTTTTCGTGGCGTTTAAGGTGGTTTAACCGGTTCTAACAGCAGCGCCTGCATTGACAACAGAAAACAGAGACAAACACAATATTCATAGGCTTTAAAAGAGTGTCTGATAGAAACCTAATCCGATAGGCTACCTAACTCAATTACAAGCATGCTCTGTCATATTTCCCGTTTTCTCCCGAGAAACAAAGCAAAAGCCCCGCATTTCAGTTGGCACGCGATATTCTCTGTGCAAGTTTCATTATTTACGGTTAAAAAAAATATCATAAACGATCAATAGGAATTAAAACTTCAAAATGATGCTCAGTCTCGGGTTTTCCGTGTGATGTTTGTGTGTGACAGGGATAATTCTGAGCGAAGCATGAGGGATTTCCCCGAAGAAATATGCGTGTGTGGCACAAAGTTTAAAGTCGATATTTAGACTAAAATAACACAGAAACACAAAAGAATAGACATACAGTTTTCTTACTGAGAGTGAAGGGTTAGTGAGTCTTACCTCGAGCAGCGGATCCCACAGTAAGAGCTCAGGCTTCTCGGAATCTCCTCCAGGCTGCCACACACACACACACACACACACACACTGACCACGAAACCCTGCTTCTGCTGAACATGCGGTTTAACACGATCTAGAAACGCTTTAACCGTCAGTCTCGGTGATGCATTGCTATGCACTTTTATGTAGGCTATTCTCTATTAGGCCTACACATAATGGAAATCATTTCAGTTTTCTTTAAGTCATAATGAAGTGAACGTGGTGAATTTTAAATCATTTTTCTCTTTTGGTTTGAGTGGAATATTTGTATTATATGCCCAAAAATAAGCCCACCCCGAAAAATATTCACTTAAGTTTTTTTAAGTGAGTGACAGAATAAAGCCGTCTCTAATGATAGAGATGTGCACAGAGGTTTAATTTCACTTTATTTTTAAATTGAGCACGATTGACTGATCTGACTGAAGTCCGAATGTCAGAAATTGGCAACATTAAACGGAAACCTGTGGAACAGAATCTCCAGTAGCGGTATTAACATTAACTGACGCACAGAAGGCACATGCCACTATGCTTATTGGCACATCCGGTCATGTGTCACTGACATTATTGCGACACACTGCAGGCCCGCCCACAGAAATGACTGGGCCCCTGAAAAGGTCCAGTGAATGGGCCCTCCCCAAATCTGCAATAGAGGGAATGCATTAACGTCACTTCCCCGCCGGAACACGCCCCCCTCAGCGGGACTGAGTGGCAGAAGAGCTGCTGCGTGACTGGAGTTAATAGGGGAAACTGCGTTAACGCGAGTAAAACAAACTATTATCAGTTTAAACTAAAAGTTCGACTCGATATAGTGTTCCTTACAACTTATCAAAGATCCAGTGATCCATGGATATTGACATGCAGCCAGGAATCGTGTTTCCTGACATTTTTATGTGCCTGATTTCGACGCCGGGGAAATAAATGAAGACAATTTGCCTGTAAACGTTTTATATAAATACAATATAGATAGTTCTAAATCCGAGTGATCACTTACATTAATGTTATACTGTATATCATCATATCGTCCAGCCCTAAAACTTGTATAGTTTTTTGTCAGTGTTTATTTAAAAACATCCAATTATGCAGAATATAGTCTGTTCTGTAGCTTTTTGTAGTCTGTAAAAATATACAGTACCTCAGATTTCTGGTCAAATCTAGTTGTACAGTCAATCGCAAAGCTCTTTCCCGTTTTAGATGTGTTTTGTGTGATTTTCACGGCGTTCACGCTGAAAACAAATGCTGCCGCTCAGTCTTTTTGCCACTTGTGGGCGTGACCGCATTCACTCCGGCCGACGGTGACGTCATGCGCATACCCTCTATAGGCTACTCATATCATGCGTGTGCTCTCTCTCTCCTACATACCTTTAACTGAGAGAGACTATAAGCCTTGTTTATACTCGACGCGTCCGCACGAGCGCGAGTCTCCGTTGTGCTATTATGTGAAACGACAGGGGGCGACTCCGAGTAATTCTCCTCTAAAACACCAGGAATCAGCAGTGAAGAAGTAGTTTGCCGTTTTTTAGTAGTTTATTAATTGCTGATTCATATAAAAAGAGTAATAAATGCAGTAGGTTATTGTACTTTCACTGCATGTAAACTAGTTAAACAACTGAAGCCTTATTGAAGAGTGTTTAAACCTTAATTTCATCAGCAGGGCTTACTCCTGCTATTGTAGGCTTATTTTGTAAATGTAAGCAGTTACTTTAGACAAGTGCAAACTGGGTGCTTAATGTAAATGTGTTACTATTCACAAAATGAGAGGCTTTTATGGTCACCCATCAATGCAAATGTCTCTGTGTATAGAAGGATCATTAACATGCTGGTACAGACGTACCAGTTCGGCCAGATTCGGCTCGAAGTCGTTCATCTTCGGATGCGGCGCCGCGCGCGATGTTACAAAAAGTGCCGTGCACACCGCCAGGCGAAATGGGGTCTTGCGCACCCAACGCGCACGACCGCCCACACCGCAATGACGTCATTTTTGCCGCGCGCACCTTCGCGCTCTTGCGGACGCGTCGAGTATAAACAAGGTGATGGGGTCTATAGTTACACACACACACACAGGGCTCTCAAGTGTCACGCATTGAGCATGACAGTCACTCATTTCGTTCTTTTGTCACACACTCCCGCCACACATTGTATTTCTCACGCGAAAAAACGATTTATAATATATTTAATATGCCGCAGCGCCCAAAATGTCTCTGGCCGCGCCGCTGTCACTTTGGACCCGGCAGGAATCAAGCGCGTATCCCTGTTGTTCATCGAGCTACACAAAAGCCAATCAGAAAATAGCACTATTGTATCTGGGTATGATTTAACGCAACAATCAATGAAAAAAAAAAGAAGAAAATTGTCATGAAACAACCCCATTCCCGCGACCTGTCCAATATCAATATCTAATGGTGTGTTCACACCGAACGCGTATTTAATTATTTGCGCGATAGATTACATACAAAGTCAATGCAAAGACTCGAATAGACGCATCATCGAAATAGGCGGCGCATTTGCTGCAACCGTCTTCCGCGCAAGTTGAAAAATTTGAACTGGAGCGAATGTTCAAGCGTCTAACTAGACGCGATAGACGCGCATTTGACGCTCTATTTGCGTTCGGTGTGAACACACCATAAGGCTGCCACTCTGCAGAAGCAAATTCCCTCCTATCTTCGATATGTTGTAGTAGTTTTAGCTGGAGTGCACATGACAACTGCTGTAAATGACATGAAATATTCTCTCAGTCCTCGCGCATCTGATAAGGCCTCATTAGATTTACAGGACGATTTTAGGCAATCGATTGCTTCAATCACACTGGGGAGATGGTGAGCAATAGGTCTTACTTTTTATTTTACTGTCTATGGTCTTATACCGTGTCAATTCGCGCACTCCATCGTGTGTCACTCACTTGCGCTGCTGACCGCGAACTGGCGCAAAGCACTGGCGTTTTGACATACGTACAACAAAAAATAGCCTACTCAGACCATTTTCAGGAGAGGGGTGTTTCATTATGACACAGGCTACATTTTACTCAAGCAGCATTAAATAAAATGCTTTTTTTCTCTCACTTTCAACAATAAATGGTGCTATTTTTGTTAAAAATAAAATATGGTAACCTTTGCTTGTATTTAGGATGAACATAATTATTGCTGGACTGCATGCCCCCCCCCCCCCCTAGCGGCTGGGCCCCAGAAAACGTTCCTCTTTATCTCACCTTATGGACGGCCCTGCACACTGACATGACTCTGACATGACACCGAGTCGCGGAACATGTCAGCGTATGTCGTGACACCTCCAGTAGTGACTGACAGATTAATCGAGCATCTATACTGACGTAATTGTGACACAAAATCCTAAATAGCCTAATTTTGTGATATTTTAAATATCAATTTAACACATTAAAGTCAGAAATATTTTTTCAAACGTGTTATTTGTGTCACGTCTGTAGTTGGTATGTGCCACTGAATGTTTTGTAATACCAGTGCTACTTTATGTTGTTTATCTCGCAAAGTCACAAACTGCCCATTCTAGGAAAGACGACATAAATCTATCATGGGTCACTACGAATAAAGTATTAATACGTTATTCGTAGTGACCCATGATAGATTTATTTCTTTTATTAATCTATCAGTCACTACCAGGGACGGACTGGGGCTAAAAAACAGCCCTGGACTTTCTCCCAAATAGGCCCATCATCCAGCCATTCCCCCCTAGCCACTAGGATGTCCTGATACTATGCCACAATACTGTGACCTATATCAGACAAGGTATTCACAGCAAGTAATATCTCAAAAACAATGATGACAATTGGGGTTTTGTTTGTAAATGAAGCCTCAGTCTTCAAATAAAAACAAAAAAATGTACAATGCCATTACGTCTGCACTGAAAATAAAATACAAATAATGAAATGTCACTGGCTACAGAAACCCTAATTACACAAACTTGTAATTATAAAACATATAGTTACTATATACCAGGGGTCTCCAACCTTTTTGTGTGCGAGGGCTAAAGGGATAAAATAATCTATAAGGGCTATACTCAAAAATATTTATTATACATATAACATGGTGGTGTTTTTTTACCTTACCTTTACCTTTACTTTTAACTTTAACTTTTTTACTTTTCACCATCATATGCGAAATAATAAAATATCTTGATATTCTGGTTCAACAATTCCTGAAAAAATTGTAATATATATATATATATATATATATATATATATTATTCTCTAAAAACCTATTGTAGCATAAACATTTAGTATAAATATTTAATGCAAAATAAATAAATAAACTGCCATAACTTCTAAACAAAAACATTACTGCATTACATTTAATAGCCTACATTTATAGGCCTACATGACTATTAATATAACAGCATTTTTAATATGAATACAGGCACATTTCTGCCAAAAAAATTGTTTTACTAAGTTACAGTTAATTCATAAGTTGTGGAGTGAAATGTCTTCTAACTGGTTTGTTCTTGGAACAATGTTTCACCTGTTTTTTTGCGTCAAGATGTTGAGAATATCAGCGCTGTTTAATCTGGCTTTTAACTAGCTTAAATCACAGCCATCTGTGGGTTTATAATAGAGATAGAGAATTCTGCACTGAATTGAAATGCTTCTCAGTGGATCGCGCAACTCTGTGTAATAATGTTCGCGTGATCGAGATCAGTCCGCACAGCTGCTTCGGCCGCGATCGCAGTTTTTTTGGGCCGAGCTGATAATGCTCCGCGCTGGCATCCAACTTAAAGGTGCATTGCTGCCACCTACAGTACTGGAGTGTGAAACAGATTAGTGGGGGGAAAAAAACAGGTGATGACTGCGTGTGTGGCGGGTGGTGGGCCGGCCCGCCGGCCGTCCTGAAGTACCGGCCGTTCTGTGATACTCCAGATCACACAGATGGCCAGTCCGCCCCTGGTCACTACTGGATGTGTCACAACATACGGTGACATGTTCCACGACTCGTGTCAGTCAGGTGTCATGTCAGTGTCAGTGTGTCCAGGCCCGCATTAATGCACGGGCTTACTG